CAGCTTTCAAACACAAAAGGAGGTCCAGCCTTGTTATCTTGCTCTCTTGCAGGGCTATCTTAATGGGTGCAGTATGGCCTTATCACTACTCATTAAAACAAGTGTACTTGGACAAGTTAAGTCTTAAGAGCACTTAAAAAGCAAGATGAAAATAAAGTAATCAGACATCAAAATCATGCCTAGGAATACAGAGCCTTCCTATGACCTCCATTCCCTTTCTTACAAGAATGAAGAATAGGGAAGTGATATTACAAGCCAGTTGCACACAACTGAGTAGAAGCCATTGGACTTGAACTTTCAATTCCCAAATCGCCCATATGAAAAAAAAAAAAAACTTCAAAAGAAGACTTTTAGATTTGTACATTTCTAAAGGCTGATTAAACTGTAAGCTTCCCATTATTAGTCATATTTGCCCTCTGAGTCCAATATTTTGTTTCACTCCAATCTATGTGAACTGTATTTGAAGTACTAAAGTAACCACTCACTGAAAAGTGTAAAAATTCTGGAAGTTACTACATCACCACATGCTTTAACTTGAAAGTTTATACAGTCACTGATAGTATCTTCAAAGCTACAATGGCAAAGTCAACATGCACCTTTAATAAGTATGACAAGAAGAACAAATGTAACTTTTTATTTACATGCACATTACCTGGCTTGCACATAAACTGTGTCATGAGTTGAGACACAGGTGAACTGTAACAGCTTATATGGGCAAAAGCCTGTCTGCACATTTATTCACATATCATCCCTCATACCCCTGTAGAACAGCCACCCTCACTAACACAAATGCTCACAAAACAAGCTCCCACAAGCACCTGCCTTGCAACCCAAGAAAAGTGAATCAAGATTAACATTCCCTCCTTGAGTGCTGCTTTTGAGTTATGGTTACATTTCCCCTTTTGATTTTGTAGTCCTTCAGTTCTATTAAGGCAAAGAGATTTACTTTGTTTTACAAATGGTGGATTTGTCCAATTAAAGACATTGTTAGACTAGTCATCCCAGACAGCTTTCGTATGTTCCCGAATCCTTGTGTCAGCTAAATGATTCATGCATTGCCTATAGGAGTGTCTGCTCTCCCACTCTACATTTACATAGCTTGTTCCACAACCTAAGGTGCCAAAATCTTATCAAAAGAGCTGTAGTTACACATCATTAACTAGGTCAGCCTGATAATGTCTCAGCAGAAGCCTCAGACCATTTGTTGAGAAAACTACCAAGACTACATGTGCCAGTTCAGAAAACCAATTAATCCAGCCAATAGATCAGCTGAAACACACAAGTTATATTGCAAATTCTCCTCAATCCTTCTGCATCTCTTTAAAAATTTTTCTTTAACAAACAGAAAAATCCTTAGATCTTCGTCATTAATTTCAAGAGACCACAGTAAAAAGGAAATGTAAGAGTGTAATGACAGCAGAAAATAAAGAACATCGAGACAAAATTCATTCCTGTGAATAATCAGAGGCAAATTCATGACAGTATTCTCACTAAACACAAAAAAATTCCATTTTTAAGAGGTTGTTTACCCATCAGAAACAGTCATAGACACTACTTCATGAGACATGTACTAGAAAAAAAGCAGAGGTCTAGAACAATCACAAGGCATCCTTTTCCCACATACCCCTCCCCTGCTGCTTGAACCAGACCAGCAGGACAAGTATTACTTCTCACTACACCACACTCCACTACAGGTACATGGAGTTGAACAACATAGAAGAAAAACAACAACAGAGCTGGTGGCCTTTAAGCATATGATTTTTGACCTGTTGATGGGCATCCTCAATTGAAATGTGGAAAATATCATCCTGAGGAACATTTGCACTATGCAATATTGTGGCCACTTGATCATTAATGGAACAAGTTTCTACACAAACCAAGCATCTTTTCTGCCCTGTTATCCCCACAAGGATAACTCCCCTGGGGCTTCATGCTACAGTATCATGTTAAAACACTGCACTAGTAAGCAAGAGGTGGTGACAAGTAGCAAAAAGTTCTCTGGTTTTCAACAATGATACTACTAGCACTGAACAAGTCACTGAATTTGCACTTTTCCATGACTACCCATGCCTTTCCATGGATTCAGATGCAAACTCTTAACATTTGACTTTTGAGTTCCAAAAAGAATTGTCAAGTTTATCTGAATTGCATCCTCCTCTTCCCCTCACAGACATGTTAACCATTTCTAGTGCAATGCTATGTACTAACCTTTGAATAACCTTCTTTTCCAAGGTAGTCTGGTCCTCCAGTGACCTTGACCACCATACACATCTGAAACCACACATTTGCTTTTGTACCTTTTCACAGTTCTAAATAAATATTACAGACAGGTTAGTCCATAGCTAAGTATTTCAAGACTGTATCTGACAATTCTGATGCCCACAGAGTAAGCAGTGTGCTGCCCACATGTAAGATCTTGACTACACTGTAATGCCAGCTGTTTACACATCTCTGGGGCAGCTCCTTTATTCTCTTCTGTGTAGTGTATTTACAGCTATACCACCCAAAAAAGATCAAAGATGATCTGAAGAGAGATGTTGTAAGAGAATTCTTTTAACAGGAAAGCAACTTAACATGGATAACATGCATACTGATTCCTCACATTTTCCATAATAATTAATTTGTCACATGGGATAAGCTTCTTCAATTCCAAAACACCTGGCATATACTATCCATCAGTTTACTGCTTTCAGGTAAATATTTCAGCTTGTTCTCTTTAACAGAGGAATGAAGTTAATAAAACTGAGCTATGCCTAAACTATTTCAGACTCTACATTTCATACTCACCCAAAAGACAATGTTGTAACTGAAGAGCAAGTATTTGTACCAACAGCTGACTTCTGCATTAGAATATCGGTAATAGTGCATCTTCTATGGCACAGCGTCTGCGAAGAAGAGAAACAATGAGAATAATTACAGTGAAAGATTTCAAGAATTTTTTCCAAATCTCTCTTGACAAGGGACTATAGTAACCTGTACCATATGCCATTCAGAGGTATTTTAAAAATCAGCTCACTGACCCTCAATTCCCTTTAATTACTTTATTTACTTAATATTACTTATTTAACTGCTTAATAATCCTATCTTTAAGCACCCTTATGTGGTAACAGGGAGGGATCACTCAGAAAGGAAACCAGCTATACAGTTAGCCTAGGAAGATCTGCATCAGCAAGCTGGCATTCATTCACTTTGTCACTCCTTCAAAACCATTTTACTTAGAGATGACTGCTCAACACAGAAGTGTCTGAACACACTGTGGATTGCACATCCAGCAACCCAGCTAGCAGGATGCTGGAAGTGGTTACGTGGAATCCCTCAGTGTCTACAGATTGCTAAATACAACAGGCAGTTGCACTTGGTCCATTCCATACTTTAATGTTTCTTTACCAAATCATATCCTGTAAGAGGTTTTATTCTCAAGAACAAAAGCCCCACCATTCAAGAGCAGATCTGCTCTGCAGAGTTTTGCTTCCTTACACACACTAGAGATAAGGTTCAACTGCAACTGTTGCTCAAATATTTCCAAGAACTACAGCTTTTCAGAGTATCATAACTAAACCACCACTGCAAAAATGCCATGCATAAGAAAACAGAGGACAAGCTGGGAAATTGAGAGCCAGAGCAAGGAAGGCAAAGCACTCGCAAAGCACTCACACAGCCCTCATATTCTGGACAGCTGAGCACTGCCCATGACAGACAAGTTCCACAATTCAGCCCTCCATTCACTTGAGGTAAATGTTAGTGAAAGACTTGCAAAGGGAAGGAAGCAAGGATGAGAATTTATTGTAATAACTCATAACTAAGAAAAAGTATTGTGCCCGGCTGGACACTCACAGACAACATGCAAAAAAAATCATGTCAGTCTTGCCTACCCAGCAAAGACTGAAATCAAGCACCACGGAATGCAAAACTCATCGCTGTGGATGTGGTGAACTAGTTTGCCTTTTTTTTTTTTTTTTTAGAAAGCAATCTGCACCTTAGTATAAAAGATGATCCCACCAAAAGAAAGAAGTTAATACCTGTCGGCTTTGAGAATTCCACTCAATTCAATAAACAGTTCACTTTATCTTTTACGTGAAATACCAATTGTTTTCTACAATTATGAAGTACTACTATCAGCATCTTACTGAAGGAGCTTATTTTTTCAAATCTCAACACAAATATTTCAAGCTATGCCTTAAAACTTTTTTCCCCAAAGTTAAAACCACACACATACAGATCAAGGACACAAAAGAGGTCTCCAGTCCACAAGACTATGAACACAGACTTTGATTTTCCTTCCAGAGGTCTTTTCATGCCAGGCTTGGCTTACATCTGGAATCCCACTGAGAGTCCCTCCTTGGTCCAGACACATCCCTCATCCCTCTACAAGTCCAGTCAGAAAGTTTCTTTGTTGCTCAACCAAATTAAAATTGCTTTCAGAAATACCAAGACAGTGTAGAAAAATCTAAGGAGGGTACATTTTGGTAGAATACTCCACAGCCTTAAGTAGCTATGAGGAAAAAAAAACACTGGAAAATAATGTGAGCTGGCATAATGAAGTAAGACTGCACAATTTGTGGATTGAGAGTAATTTCTGGGGGTTTTTTAAGCTAAAATGGCCTGCACGTGCATAAGAGGAATTTTCAGATCCTACTGAAAGTTGGTAGTTATTATACAAGTCATACTGATCCACTTGGCATGAAGTAGATTAATTTATATATAACAAAGGCAGACAACACCTAAGTAGCCTTCATGCATGTGCTATCAGTGCAGGTTGCTTAATATATATCACCCACAGGCAACTCTAGATTAGTGCATCTGGACAGACAAGTAGCAACAGAAAAAAAAATCATTAAGAGAAGAAATTTTTTCTCCTGATGATTGATGAGAAGGAGTAAACCCAAATTAAGTTAGAATTCAAACATCTTTTCCTCACTAGCCCCAGTAAAGGTTTCAGAGAGAAAAGAGTCTGGAGAAAAGTAAATTGTTTATTGTACATTGTTATAGAAACAGTACCTGTAAAATTTTACAGGCTACAGTGTGAACACCATTAATACTTCAACCTGAAATTTCCACAGTTCAGATGTTGATTTTCATACAATTTTAACTAAACACTAAAAACAAGTCTTTTTTTCCTTCCAAAACCTCACTTTATAATTAGGTTCTAATGCTTACAATTAATTTATAGCAAAAAGCACTTAACTTCTGTTAAAACAAAAGAAATTGTACTTTATGGTAGTACAGGCAGTGACTGGAAAGGATCTTCCCGATGTGACCCATCCTAGGGTCAGATCTAGGAATGTTTATTGTATTACATAAAAATGAGTTTTGTGACATACATTCCTAAGAAGTAGTTTTGTTTGCTCATCCTCTGGTTCAGCTTTAGTTACTTATCTTTTCAACCCATTCAACATCACAGACATTTAGGAACCTTACTAACATGGATCTGAGCAAAGAACACTTATTTAAGCACCACTCCCCTGACACACTTATCTAAGACTGCAGGTGAGAGAATACAAGAGAAGGAAAAAATATCTGGTTCTCAAGTTCATTTCCCTTTCTAGCTCCAAATGGCAATTTATATTTCAACAATCAATACTCATATACTTGTCCAACTCAGTAAGTATGATTGCCTGGGGAAGAGTGGAAAAAGAGGGTACAAAAGCAGAATCCCACTAATCTGAGCAGAGTCCAAGACTCCATTTGCATTAGTATTATCCTGTATTACAGCAATACACTGGCTGCCAGTGCAAAGATTCTCCACATACAGGCACACTAAGGCCTCCATTATTGTTCTGCCTCCCTCCCTGCGAAAACCAGGAACCTGGTAAAAGACAGGAACAGCAACAGTAAAATGAACATACTAATAGTCAGAAGTACTGCTTTTGCTGCTGCTGCCTCTAGAAAAGAGGAGACAGCAGGTGGCATTCAGTTAGCACATCATTAAATTCCATAAAAATGGGGTTCTACTAGATAAAGAGGCTTAAAATGTAACCTGTGCTTGCAAAACAGCAAGCACATCATTTCAGGACCTAAAACGCAAGTGTTGTTTGAAGATTCTTTTTGTTAGGTCACCCTCCCTGGCATCGGGACTTACATTCAAGACCCAGCTTCAGTGAAACTAATCACAGGAATAAGAGCATCAAAAGTACCCTTATTGATAAGCACTACTCCCAGCTACCTCATTGTTTTGACCAGCAGCTTGCAAGACATTTCTCCCCACTTCTTCAAAAACTGGTAAGATGTCCCAGTCAATATCAATCACAGTATTGTAACAGAATGAAAAAGTAAAATGCTTTTTTAACATAAACACTTCTTGTTAATGCTCTGAGATGAAACAAGGGGATTGTATTACCAGTATTAGCAAGAGGCTGTCCTATCACTGCACGTGGCTCCCCAGACACATATTACCTTCTGAAACACCTGCCTATCTTAAGAGCTGATTTGACTTACTCTCTTTGCTTACCCTCATCAGAACTGACAGACCACTGAACAGCATATGGCTGGTATGGGAGTGATATAATAGATCTGAAGTGCAGGGATGCCTGACTTTTTCCCCAAACACTACAAACAGACCAAGCAATCCACTCAAGGCCACACAGCCACCTTCCCCGTGTTAATACCAAAAGCAGTCATGTTTCCCAATGTAGGAGGCATCTAGTACTGGGCTAGAAATCTGCTACATCAGTCATTCATTTAGCTCACATCACTGGCTACACAACTATGCTTAGGCAATACTACAAAATACTTGGAAGATTAAAGTAGTATGTGGGCAGCACAGACTAATAACGTTCTCTACTGTATTTCAGACAAAGCAAGTCACATTGGGTCAGCTGACAGTTATCACCCACTCACAGTAACAGAAATTTCTAAAAATTAAATGCAGAGCACTGCTGCTTTGGTAGAATACATAACTTTGTGTTCACAGCTTTAGCGAGGGGGGAAAAAATGTAGTCATTCATCAAGAGGCTACTACCATTTCCAAAGCATTCCTACACCCATGATTCCACTCTCACCTTCAAAATGCTACAGCAGTGATACTCCTAATGTATATACTTTAACTCCCCTAAAACAGAAGATGTGATCTATTAACTAATCTAATGTGAACACGCAGAGAAATCCTCATAGATAAGATGTTAAATCTAGAACGACTGAAGCAAATCTCTTTTCTAGATCTAGGACCACAAATTCTTTTAATCCTCTGGAGGCGTTAACTGTACAAGGCAGACCTAAGTCATGCTGAAGTTCCAAGTTCAGCCAGTACTACCACCATATGTAGAGTCCTGATCCTCCTCCCTGCCCCTCCTAAAATCCACAATCATTAATCAACCTACTCAGTGGAGCAAACAATCACACATCAAACCATACAGCAAATCTTCACATCAGTTCTGTGATCTTGTACCATGCACCAAGAAGCAAACAGTTTTAAGCCTTCCAACCTACCTTGCCAGAGCACACACAAAAGCCAATGTGGGTGCAGTCAGGAGGTGGAAGGACAAGGATGGGAAGGCAAAAACAGTGGTAGATGAGCGTGCTCATGGAAATGCAGCACCTCTACAATGCCAGCCTACACCAGCACCACACTTGAAGCCAAAATGCTAAAACAGATGAAGCTGGGGGAACAGGGGCAGAACTGAGGCAAGAGAAAACAAAGAAAAAAATTTCACTTGGCAACCTGTTGACTCCTCCAGCATTCTTCATCAATACAAAGCATCAAATCTAAGTGAAGCTCGTGAAGCAAATGAACAAAGTCAAAAGAAGAACACACTGAGGAGCAAGAACTTTTAAAATACAGGAACAGATGCACTTTGGCCTATGACTTGTTTTGATATGACTCCTTAATTCCATTAATCCATCAACACCAAATCTACATCAAAAAGCATCAATTCATTCAAGCCATGGT